TGGGGGTCACAAAAACATGAGGAACTGTATTAAAGGGTCACAGCATTGGGAAGGTTGAGAACCACTGGACTAGACAGTCACATCTGAAATAGTATAGATTCTCCCACTTGAGCAGAGGGATGGACTAGAAGACCTCTAAGGTCCCTTCCAGCTTAATCATTCTATTGTACTGTTTTCAGGCCTTCCTCCATCATTTGTTACACATTTATCAAGATGGGATTCCCTGCCTCAGTTTGTACAATAGGATTGTATCAGGGATGGGCTTCAGTCGGCGTTACTGCCGATTTGCTCATGTGTGCATTTTGTGCACACTGGATGTGTGCATGTGCAGTTCCGTGAAAATTGTTCTGTGCATGTACAGAACTAAAAAAAGAAGAAGATGGCAGCAGTGACAATGCCAACCAAGGAACCGGTTCGGGAGTGGGGCCAGCCTGGGTCGCCAGTTCTGTGACCCAGGCTGGCATGCTACTACTGGTTTGACCAAACCAGTCTGAACCAGTAGGAACTTACCTTTGGATTGTATGTGATATCTGCTTACTATGATAGTCTCCTTAAAGCGAGGAAACCTCAGGAAATTTCTTACATTACCTTTTCAGGTTTTTTTTTACATGGAATATCTAAAAGCCCCTTTGGATAGAACTTGGAAAATGGATAGAAATTGGTGGAACCTCAGCAAAATTCACAATATACATAACTGTATCTTTGGTTCCAGAAAGTACTTGCTGCAGCCTAAGATACCTCTGTGGGGAGGATCCAATAGACATTTTACCCAATAGATAATTTTGCATGTGAAGAGTAGGAGGTGAAAGGCTGGGGGTCTCATGTAACAATCTAAACCCATTAAGCATAAGTAGGCAGGAAACTTTTCATCAGACTTCCTCCCTAGTGTTTTTCTACAGGTGCAGGATCCACTTTTAAAGAACAATCAAATGTTGATTTGTTAAATACAACAGGAACTCACCCACCACCTCATGGTCTAAGCCTGATGTTGTGGACTGATGGGAGTAACCAGTCCAAAGTCACCCACCCAGCTTTCATGGCTAAAGTGGGACTAAAATTCACAGTCACCTGATTTCTAGCCTGTAGCTTTAATTACTAAACCAAACTGGTTCTTACTTCCATTTTAAGGAAATGGAAGAGAGAGATGACATCAGAGGACATGCTTATGCAAGAGTGCTTGAAAGGATTTTGAACTTTAGCTGACTTTATTTCCATTAAAATAATTATTTCCATTAAAATAATTCATAGACTCTCAAATATTGTGAATCCAACATTTCATTCAGTTAAAGGGAAAAAGGTTCAAATACTATTTTACCTCTAACAAATCTGCTTCTTAAATTGGAATGATAAAAGTTGGTTATATTAATAGTAGCTAATGTTCAAAAAGTTCATATTGGCTGCGAGATAGTTCAATGACTAAATAAAAGTAGAAATCTCTACCGCGACACCTCTTGATGATACCTGTCTAATGCCTTGTATAATGTTGTGCTGCTCTGCACTAATTACTCTGATCCTAAATTTTTAGCGCCTTGGCGAAACCCAATTGCAATCATGTGACCACATGACCCTGGGATGGTCATTAATGCCTGCTGGTTGCAAAGTGCAGAAATGCCAATCATATGACCCCAGGGGCGCTGCGGTAGTTGTAAATGTGAGGACTACTCTAAAATTACCTTTTAAGCATTGTCGTAACTTTGAAAGGGAAATCGTTAAGTGAAGTCTATCTGCAATAGTCTGGCATGCTAGCCTTTTCAAATGACGAGCACTTTGTCCCCAATTTCTGACATTATTGAAAATGAATCAGCAGCCTTCTCTGTGTCATGTATGAAAACGATCATTTCAACATATATTTCAACTCCCTGGGGAGTATAATTTAATCAACATCAGAGAAAAATATGGTGATGAACTAAGGGGCTTCAAGTCCCTTTGCTTGCTTTCAAAAACAGCATCATGTAAACATGTTGAGACTTCAGAGTTTCAAAAAAAAAAGTGGAGTAGTAGAATAAAATTGGGATATTGTCTTTACAATCGAACACATATTATTATTTTGTCTTAATTGTTACTACTTTCAGGGTTATTGAATCAACAGTTGCAGTTTGGCAATGGCAGGCTGCTTTCCCCCTTTTCATTTCTTAGATGGTTTCAGGCACCATTTAGCCTCAAATACATTGCCCTCTGTGCTTTCTGGGGGGGAAAAAGGACTCCTGCTTTTGCAACAGATGTACTTGGACATGCAACTGGGGACTGTGACAAGCATTTATCTTGCAGAATACACTCTGCATGTGCTCAGAGTAATAGGGATGAATATCTCTAGATATGTACTCAGCATCTCTTTGTTTAAAACTCTTATTAATATTAAATTGACTTAAATTCTTCTATACTGGAAAGCGAATCTCTCCTCCCCCCCCACACACACAAGGGATCACTTTATTTCAAAAACATACAAAAATAGGAGCTGCTTACTATACTAATTTAAGGAGTAGATATAAAAACCCCTGGGAGAGGGGAAATCAAATAGGTTTTCAAAATTAAAAAAGGCAGTCCGATGTTTGATATTATTCAGATTGGGGTTATGATTACCAAAGACCACCCTTTTGTGGGATAGGGACTGTTAATCATTAAACATACAAACATTCTGAAAAGGTTAGGATTGACCACATCATTTTGACAAGGGGTCATGACCTGGTGGTCTCTTCAGCACATGCGCTTTAATGAAATCACTAAATAAAACAAATGACAAGAGCCCCAAAGATATATTTTATAACAGTGTTTTTCAAACATGGCAACTTTAAGATATATATGGGCTTCCTCTCCCAGGATTCCCAAACAGAATCTCTAGGCATCAGTATATGTTTCATTTTTACTTCCATTTCCTTCCCCATCTCCTGGCCACAATGAAGGTTGGACGAGGGACAAAAAGCAGCAGGAAGCAATCCCACCCCCACCTCCAATTCCCTCTACAGTGATGCTAATGTTAGCTTTTTGGGGTTGAGAGCTGTCAGGGCATGGTGTCTTCACAACAGTGATCTTATCCTGCTACACACAATGGTACAAATTTAGCCAGGGAGCAAGTGAATGGTCAAGTGTGTAGCGTGAACATGGCCATTGAATTCCCACTGATTCACTCACAAATAAGTTGGTACAGTACAAGACTGCTGTCTTGACAGATATATTGTGATTCAGCCTTGAGCCAACTTTGTCAGAACAATTTATTTCAGTTTTTTTCTCTCATTGTTTTTCCAAAACCTTTCAGCAACAAAGGAAGCACTGGCATTGGCTGCTGCTACATTGGAGGTAGTAGCTTCAGCCGCTTTATGATATCTTCATACTCTTTTCTCTGTCATCTTCCTGTTTTTCCTGCAAACAAGCCGTGCTCTTCCCACTGCAGCTCCCCTCTCTTTCAGCACTTGTTTCCAAGGAAAACTCTTTGGAATAGATTTAATGGGAAACCTTAATCATTCTGATTATAGAAGAAAGGAGCTTCATAACAATATAAGCTAATTGCAAGGGGTGGTGGAATTCTCCAGGAAGTTCTTTTTGTGATGGTGGTATTCTCTGATTTGATTTAGTTGATTTGTAAAGCATGTAATATAAAATGTAAAGCCATTATTGCTTGGATCTTCAAGTTTCTGACAGTATCTCCAACTCATGAGAAAAACTTTTATTCGGCATAGGGAATAACAGTGGTTGGCGGAGTTGGTTGTGAGGATAGTGATGGCAAATCTACTCTACGATGAAAGCTATATAAAGTAGCATTTCTTTCCAGATGAAGGTGGAGTTCATTCTCCAAGCTTGTTAATTGGTTTCCAAACATTTTGTTACCAGGCTGGGTAAGATATTTGGAAACCAACACACAAGCTTGGAGAAGGAATCCCTACCCTCATCCTACACCCGAGGTATAGATATTTGCCACTATTGCATATTTCTTTCTAGCTGTCATATATTTTCATTGAAGATGGAGATTCTCAATTGTCATAGTTGTCTCAAAGGTGCTTTTCAAAAGGCAACTGGACTTTCTTGGCTTTTTCTCTCTTTTTAATTTCCCCCCCCTTGAAAATGTTTTGCTTCTCATCTAAGACGCTTCTTCAGTTCTCACTTCAGTTCTCATTTCCATTGAAGCTACTAAGGTCAAGCAATGGCTAGATCCTGCAAAGCCTGAGAGTCTTTTCCCCGGGTTCTGACTTTACTTACATTTTCCTTATTTAGTTACAGGTTATTATCCAGTTAATCCCTGGAAAAGTGAAAGAGATCAGTAAACAGTAACAGAGTTGGAAGGGACCTTGGAGGTCATCTAGTCCAACCCCCCCTGCTCACTAAGGATTTCAACTGCCGAACTTTTTGATCGACAAGCTCAGTGTCTTAGCCACTGAGATGAGAGCAAAGGGCTCTTGACAAGGCAGCCTTTTTGGGGGGTGGGGTGGGGGGAGGCCAACCTAGCCCAAAAGGTGCCATCCAGTCAGTTCACCTTTTCAATCTGCATTTGCAGAGGGTGCTGACATGAACAGACCTGGCCGTCATAATCTCGGCTGGAGGGAGCCCTTAGATTTGCACCATTTTCTCCAATGAAGAGGCCAAAAAGCTCTTTTTTTGGGGGGGGGGGAGAAAAGCCAATCAGGAAGGAGGAAACCGGCTTCTAGCTTCTCACGAGCACTTACCAGACTTTCCCCCCTTCCGGCCCACCCAGAAATCCTCCCCAAATGCCATCTCCTCTCCCCGGCTGCGCCTTTGCGTCCATTTCCCCTTCGGGGAGCGCTATCTCGCTCTGGATGCCTCGCTCTCCTTCTTGGCTCAGCCGCTCTCGCCCCGCCCGCTTTGCCCTCCTCCCCTCTCCTCCCCCCTCCCCGCTTCCTCCCCCCGCCCCCCTCCACTATTAGTATTCCACTCCCGTCTCTGCTGCTCGCAGGAGCGCTTTTGCTGCAGCGCTCCCGACGTCGTTGGTTGGTTGCCTGCTTGTGTCGGCTTCTTCCTTGGCAGCCGGGTCGGGTCGGAGCCGCCAGGACCAGTGGGTTCTTCCAGGTCTCCACTTCGCTTGCTTTCCCCCCTTCTCCATCGCCCACTCCCGAAGGCTTTGGCGAGGCTCCAGTTGGGTCTGCTCCGGGATCTCTATGGAGCCCAAGCATTAAGGGGACCGGGAGAGCCCGCAGCCTCGCCCCTCTCTGCCCCCCAACTGGGCACGCGGAGGAGGGTACAGCCGTCTTCGCCAACCTTATCAGGAAAAGAGGGGGAGCAGGGGATGCTGTCTCCGCGACGCCCCCCACTTTGGTGAGTGTGGGGACGAAGGGGTGAGGTTAGATGGTTGGGGTGGATTATTTATTTATTTTTTGGGGGGGAGGGTGGAAAGGGTCATGATCCAGCCCAGCCAAGGGACGAGAGAGGTACATACAGCAGGATGAATGCCAGGATGAAAGAATATGGGTGAAGCAGGGAGTTGAAAAGGTTAGATTGGGACAGTGATTTTTTTTGGAGGGGGGAATAGGGCAGGCTGGAATTAATAGGAATGGAGAAGTAGGATGATGGATGGAAGTTGCTATGGAAACTGCACCATCTATACCCTGCTCAGTGGCTGAAAGATGCTGCTCTTCTACCTCCTCCTTCTCCTCCTCCCCCCATACTTGGCAACCCAACCCCCTTCTGTCCTTCCTGATGCTGCAGGCAAATATCCCCAATCCACTATTTTCCACTTAATTCCCCCCACCCCAAAAATCTTCCTAGCAAGCATTCGGCCACTATGTCCTCTACAGAGCTTTCCACTGGCTCAGCCCCCTCCCCTTCATTGCTTGCTCCCATAGCAACACACGTTGCTTTCCCATCAAGCTGTGCTTAATACTCAGGTCTGATACCACACCCCCTCAATGGGAGGAGAATTCCTCTTGAGGAGCCCCATATATCCCTATCTAGGCCTGGTTCCAACAAGCATCTCTGGGCTGGCTGCTTCCTGTCTTACTACAAGCCTTCCCTTATTGCCTGTCTGCCAATGGGTCTAAATCTCACTCCAGGAGCCAGAACCCTCTTCTGGTTGGATCCCAATAACATTCTGGAAGCCGTGGATGTTTTCAATGAAATCATCCTGAGGTTGTTAGGTCCCATGAAGAAATATATCAAAAAGTAAGTTCAGGGAAGTATCTATCTCACCCTCCCTATCCCTATTGTGGAACTTGATTGATATCCCCCAGGTACATAATTCTGATCCCTCCCAATTAGTACGGTTATAAGATGATGAGGGTTCTAAGTTGGGAAAGTAGATAGGAAGCTATTAGAAATGTCCATCTGATTCATCTTCCATGAGCTAAAGTCTCCTAATCCTCGATGAATTTTGGAGTTTCCTTTTTCCATTTACCCAGAACCTCCATTTCCCCCCCCCCTCATGTAAGGATTGATATTGCCAATTTTTACCCTTCTCCAGATCTAACTTAATTCAATGCCTTTAATAGCTCACTTCCACTCTTTGGATTTGGCTAATTCAAGGCTTCCGGACTCCCCCTGTTTGCACTTGATTGGCATTTTACCATATCCCAATATTTTGAAAAATAGAGGTCATAAGAGCAGCTATTTTTAAACTAGCCCACCCCTCAATTTTTCCTGCACTATCCATTAAAAATTCCAAATTTTCAAATTTTTCTAGCTGCCTAGAATTAATTTGCCAGAATTATAAAAAAAAAGCAATGCCAAAACTCCTTTCACTGTTACATACTGGCTGTTTGTCTGTCTAACTCTTTGTCTGTGGGTTTTTCTCCCATGCTTTCTTCATTTCACCCTTCCCTTGTAATTATTTTAATTTTTCTAGTCATTGTGTATTATGGGTAATTAACATGAAATTTCATAGGGCCTAATTCACAGCTGATGAAGGGCTAAAGCTGTGCCTGGATCCTATCACTTAATACTGCAGATGGGAAAACACATGACTGAATGTTCTTCCATGCAAGCAAGCAGGCTGCATTAACCTGCACATGCTTAACCTGATTGCTGAATTAACCCATTTCTGGCTTCCCACAATACAGTGTAACATACATTCCATCAGTGAAGCTGGGTTTTCCCTTGCTAATCCACAAACTAATTAGGTAACTGACTGAGGTTAACATGAATCAAAGATAACATCTAGGTTTTTACTTGATTGGATCAAATGTATTGTGTAAATTCAACTTCTGTGTAACAGAGAAAGTTAACCACAACTTTTCACCCTAATATGTTCTTTTCTGGATGCAGGGTCTTAAATGGAGATGCATTTAATTATGCAAGCCTACACCTGCAATTTGAAATGATTGCACATTTACATACAATGAAGTTTTCTTTGTGTATCAGCAGCCTTCTCCGGTCTGGTATTCTCTGGATAAGTTGGGGTTGCAACTCCCAGAAATGAAAGTCAGCAAAGCTAAAGGCTAATCTGACTACACAAAAACGTACTAGCATGGCTGTGAAAACTGTGATTTGCAATCCTGGCACCTTTTCAAAATATCATTTGATACCATTTGAGAGGTTAGGTGAAGTGCAGTGGTAGCCATGCTAATGTTTTACAATTAAAAAAAAATCCAAAGAGAGTTGGGATAATTTAAAAGTTAACTTTAGTCTACTTTAGTGCTTCTCAAGTTTGATAACTTGAAGATGTATAGATTTCAAATCCCAGAATTCCCCAGCCAGCATCTTCAAGTTGACAAGGTTGAGAAACATTGGCATACTTCGTGGAAAGATTTTTGGTGGGATTTTGCTATAATTGATTGGAAGGGAATGGCTACATTGCACTGGCAAATTTGTGTCAGAAACTTCTAATATTTATCCATGGGTTACTAAATTAAGCCATTTTCCAAATTTGCACAACATATTGAACTGTAAAGTACAATAACCAAATGTGTTAGATTCAAACAACAATCTAAGCCACAAAATCACAACACTAAATGAATCTGATATTATTCAACTATGTAATGTGTGAATGCAGCTTGTGTGCATATGTGTCTTCCTTAGTTGGCAAAAATTGAAAGGTATGTTTGGGTTGGGAAGGGCTTACATTAATGGTGGGACTTGAAATAAATATGTGTCCAAGGATTTATGGGATTTACAGAAGGATCTTTCTGAACTCTCTGGGAGGGGCCCTATAGCAAAATATTCATCTGAAGTAGGTTTTCCCAAGCCAACTGCCCTCTAGATATGAGAACCTCCCACAATCTCAATCTAATATGATGGTTGTTGAGAATTCTAGGAGTTACACTCTGGAAGAATAGCCAGAATAACAGAGTTGGACAGGACCTAGTCCAACCTCCTGCTCAGCAGGAAAGCCTATACCTTTCAGGTAATGGTTGTCCAATCTCTTCTTAAAAACAAGGAAGGCTGATCTGCAGGGTTCTTTTCCTTTTAGTTTATTTGTCCATGTTAATAATATAAACTTGTCCATATGAATGATGAGTGATTGCTCCTCTTGCATCTGTCTTGCGTGGCTGCCATGATAAGCAGCAGAGCCCCAAACACAAAAGAAGAGCCTCTTGAGAACAACCAGGTGGAGGTGTTCCTTAAACACAGACCAAAAGCTTGCAGTGCTGATCCCTGGCTGAAACTAAGCAGGTCTGGGCTTGGTCACTGCTTAGCTAGGAAATCGGAATGCTTGGGACACTTCTGTGGGATACCACTTCAGAGGAAGAACAAGAATCCCCTACAAGAAACTAATATGAATGGAAAGGCAAGATGGGACATCTTTGAATCAGAATCCTATAAAGTTATGTGAAAGTGAAAGATGGGGATGATATTCAAGAATTAAGGGCTACACACTACTCAAAGGCAATTGTTTTGCAGTAGGACAGGGTGAAGCTTTTTACATAGAGTGATGGAAAAGGAGATAATAAAATTGGACTGCTAGTAAAAGAAGAAAGTGATTATTTAGGAACAGACTACTGATAAATTTAGACTATTCTCCAATATAGGCATCTTCTGCATTCCCCACAATTGTAGGGTAAGCTACAATTGAGTTGGCTAGCTGGCTTCACTGTATTGTATTGTGGAAACCTAATGATTGTCTGGGCATGATATATGCATGAACCCCTTCCAATAAGCCATGGTGTGATGTGTTTGTTTGGGTGCAGCACGTAATATGTACCCAGCCATTTTGTCTTATTAGCTCAGATTTAGCATGTTATTAGAAACTAGCCAGTGAATTGAACACTCCCAGCATCCATAGACAAACTGGCCAAAGATAAAGGGGGTTGTAGTCCAGTGCCTTTTGGAAAGAGGTCTGGACTGGGTTATTCTTGTTCAACTGATAGTCACTTTTGTCTTTCTTGCAGGTTTATTGTTTCTTTTGTGGGGGGAGGGGGAGTTCTGCAGGATTATCCAAAGCCAAGCTTTTTTTTTCCATCCCAGGGGCTCAACAATCCTGTGAAGGAAAGAGGGATGTATTCCAGCATATATAGATTATGATAATTTATGAAAATAGAATATTGTGCAGCCATTTGGTGTGGAGCATGCTGTGGGTGTGTGCATGTCTCTCTGTGGCACACATTTACAACCGTGAGTGCTGCTGTGGCTCAAGGGGGAATGGAGGGGGCTGAGGTGGAAGCCTGTTTTGCTGCTTAATGTCAGGGCAGGCCCAGATGGAGGCCTGGTGATGCTTTCGGGATTAATTAGCATTGCAAACAGTCAAATTGTTAACTGTGAAGGCTTTGGCCTGTATACATAAATTTGGGGCATTTTTAAAAGCATGTTTGCTTGACCTCTGCATATGATATGTATAAAATATAAAACTACATAGCTACAGCTACTAGAAAAAGTGGCCAAGAGCATGTGCTAGAAACAGTTGCCATGGCAATGGGAGGTAGAAGAAAAGGGATGAAAAGAAAAGAGTGAGAACCCAAAGTAGATGTTTCCTTGGTTGCTGCTTCTCCCTTTCTCTCCCCAACATTTTGTCCATAAGATTCAAGACAGTATAGCGTAGTCACTACAGCAGGGTCAAAAATGACTTTTATAACATAAGTCACCCACAGTGTTGAGGTTCAATCCCATTATCCCCTGCATATGATGGGAAATGTAACTCAATGCATCTGCAAGGCACCAGTGGGAGGTGGCTGGACTTTAGGAAAAAGGGAGGAGAATTTTGATTCTCCACCTCCTCCATAAATAATCTCTATCTTTTTCATTGTATGTCTCTGATCTGGAAGGCTATGGAAGAAACTGTCTCATACAGTATTAAGTGCAGGGAAGGAAACTACAATAAATATGTTATAAAGGACGGTTATGGCATTTGAATCATCTTGTAGGGGATGAAAGCGGTTATCTGCCTTTCT